TGACCTGCTACCAGGGATCAAATCTACATGTGCAATTTCGGCATTTCCATATATATGAACAATGATTATGCAGATGTCTGGTATAGGGGCAAAATGACTCCAGGTTGTTTCCTGCCAAGCTGCTTTCCAGCTGGGTGGCCCTCAGATTATACTAGTTCCAGGGGTTGTTCCTCTTGAGATGCAGGACTTTGCACTTCCCCATGTTGAACTTCCTGAGGTTAATTCCTGATATTTCATTAATTATCTTTCTCTCTCCAGAATGTTTTGTTGCTAGCTAAATACATCATATGTATATATTTCTTGAAACAGTTCATTTTGGTTTCAATGAATCAAACTAAAAATCATACTCTCTTTGCAGTTTATCAAACATATAACCAATGATGAACTCTTGGGCTATATTAAAGGGACTGAAAATATGACTTTCTGCAGTAGATAAAACTAATTTTCCCAAAATCCCTTGTCTTGTTTTCTGTTTTAAAAAGTAGTGGATTTCTACTTTTTTTTCAAGCAGGTAACTTATGTCTGTTTAATTTAAGAAATCTAAAAAGATAAGTAAGTTTCGATGCATATTTGCAATACAGAGACTGAAAAATTCTGTTATCCGTTCTGAATAGCCTGCCTGCCTCTTACTTTGGCTTTCTAATTTTCTCAAGAAAACTCACCATGATGACAACCTCATTACTATGCTGTCTTAATGACTCCAATGAGAGACACCTCTCTGTGTTGCTGTTCCTGTTTATATACTCCATTATTCTTTTCCTATTTAGTCTTCCAGAAGGTGTGAAAAAGGAAAACAGAGTTGGTCATTGGTACACAGTGTTGACCTAAAGCTAATGGAATGTTACTTGTTTATTTGTTCATTTTACAATTAAGGTAAATTATGCTGTAATTCTTTACCATTGCTAGCTATTAAATGTCTGAGAAAAAAAAGATTATACCAACACACATTTTATGTTTTTCAAAAAAACACTTAAATGTGTAAATTTTTTTGAAAAATTAACTCCAGAAACTATAAGAAAGAATACTGAAATATATTACATGGAAATTAGTAAACACAGAACCATAGAATCATTTTAGTTGAAAAAGAACTTTACGATTGAGTCCAACCTTTAACCCAGCACTGCTGAGTTCACCACTAAACCATGTCCCTCTGTGCCACATTTACACACCTTTTAAATACCTCCAGGGATGCGGACTCAACCACTTCCCTTGGCAGTCTGTTCCAATGCTTGACAATTCTTTCAGTGAAGAAATTTTTCCTAATATCCAATCTAAATCTTCCCTGATGCAATTTGCAGTCATTTGCTCTCATCCTATCGCTTCTTACTTTGGAAAAGAGACTGACCCCCACCTTGCTACAAGTTGTAGAGAGTGCAAAGGTCTCTCCTGAGCCTCCTATTCTGCAGGCTAAACAACTCCAGGACCCTGCTTTTTCATATTACAACCATCTATCTCAGTAAAATTACTCACTTGTAATACTCAAAAACACTGAAGTTTTTTGGCTGAGTCAGAACTGTTAAAATAGAGCAGACAAGATTTCAGAGAAAAACTGTAAGTATCTAAATAAAAGCAGTATGCAGACAGCTGTTTCTAAGTTCAGAGGCATAATTTATTTTGGCTTATTGTCCTCCTGAGGTATTTCAAGGCTATAACTACATGATCCTTTAACATAACAAATGTCCTCATTGAAAACACAGGTGAAAACAAACTAGCACTAAAGGCAGAAGAAACTCATACAGAGGACTGGTGAGGACAGACGTGATGTTATCAATAAAAGGAGTAGGATTGCAAAAGGGATCATCAATTTCTCACTTGTCAGTTCTTTTGTGAACATCTACTTATACCATAAGTAATGACAGCATGTTTATGTTCCTGCTTGACAAGAGCTGCTCCTGGAGTCTGATCTGTGGTGCCAGCTACTGGGAGCAGTGAGGTCTTTAACCTCCAGCCACTGGGGGCCTCTTCATGATAACCAGCTATTTTGGGACACAAGCATGAGTGGAGTCCAGCAGGGACATGCTGGTGCTCAGGGGATCCACAAACGTATGTGTGCTTGTGAACCTGGAGAGTGTGGTGTGCTTCTGCCTCTGCCAGCCCAAAAGGAGGAGGGAGAATGTGTCTGATGTGAGTCCTAAATGTGGGGGCTGCTGAGCTTTTGTATACTATTAGAGATTAAATCCTGCTAATCCAAATTAGAGAAGTCAGTGTGACAGTACTAATGGGTAAAGTGAATGGAACATTGTCAGAAGCATATACCCCCAATCTATCAATACATCTCATTTCATTAATGCAAACATATAGGGAAAGTGTGTTTCTTACATGCATCTCTGAAATTAAATTAATAAATAACCAAAGGTCTGTAGAAACAGAGATTTCAATGAGGTTTTGTACAATTATAAAATTAAAATTACAAAATTATCCAACTTTGATCCTTTCAATTCTATTCATTTAGTACTATGCTGCATTAACTTTTCACATCAGGTAAAATTCTTGGAGTTTAATTATCACTTCTTTTTTATGGAAAGGAAGATAACTATAGATGAGATTTTAAAACAAGCTTAGCATGCTTGGCTGCTTTTTATGTGATGGGCCACATAACCTTCAAATACTTTCATAATATTTGTACTTACCCACCATTTTATGTGTTAGTTAATAAACTGCTAATTTTTTTAGCTCATCCAGATCTTATATGTAACCGTTTCATATTTGGTAGCAAACACCAGGAAGCATTAAAAATACATCATTGTGAGTTGCAACCGTCCAAGTCAGTATTTCAGTGAAGAGAGTTGTGGGGGAAAAAATAAATTATTAATTATTGAGGAGAGAGAATACAGTATCAGCATCGTCTCACAGCCCAAATATTCAGGCTTGCTTTATGGACTCAGCGATTCTTCAAAACAAGCAAACAGGTCTCCTGAACTGACATGTGGAAACAAGACTCATTGGGCATAAAAGCCAGTCAAGGGTCACAAGAGGGATGAGCTGAACAGATGCAAGCTGAGACTGCACAGCTGCAGAACCTGAGTTACTGGGAATACATGATACATCAGCTGTAACAAAGGCTCCTACTGTGCAGATGCTGCTCTGCCATAACAGACCCCCTCTCAAAGCAGTTTGTATCTGCTGTAAATGTATAAAAGTCTTGGTTATCTTCAGTCAGAGTTTTCACCAACAGAGGGCTGAACCTCTGTTGCTCTGTGCCCTCTTCTGCTGCTACAGAAAAAACTGCTTCTGCCTGACCTGAAACTGCAAAATAGGCTGTGTGTCGATGCTGCAATGGTGCTACACTCTGTGCTCTCTTCCTGAATATTTCTACATTTTGATTGAGGAACAGACATTTATAGTAAACGAGAACAAATACTGCTACACCCAAATTGGGTTTATTTCCTGCCCACAATGAATACTTGTGTTTAAAGTAACTTGTTCTAAGCAAGAGGACATTTGTATTTTAGGTATTTTATGATCCAAAGACAATGTTCTGTGCACATCCATGCCTCACATTTGGCTATACAAATGCTTATAAATGCTAAATGGACAAAAATAATCTACAGTTACAATAAGAATATATGTATATTGATTCTTTCATCAAAATTTTCTTATTATCATAGAATCATAGAACAATTTGGGTTTGAAGGGACTTTAAAAAAATCACAGAACTACAGAGTCACAGAATATGCTGAGTTGGAAGGGACCCATCAGGATCATCAAGTCCAACTCCTGGCCCTGGGCAGGACCATCCACAAGAGTCACACCAGGCACCAGAGAGCATTGTCCAAATTCTTCTTGAACTGTCTCAGTCTTGGTGCTGTGACCACTGCCCTGTGACCACAGGATCCCTGGGGATTCTGTTCCAGTACCCAACCACCACCTGTGAAAAACCTTTTCCTGATATCTAACCGAAACTGTTAGCATTAATCTTCCTCAACCTGCTTGTCACACTTCTCTTGATGCTGCCCATTTATTTTTCACACATGCACAAATGTCATACATCCTTCTCATTTGTGTAACTTTATGGGAAAAGCATGCCATGTAATTTTGCATATGACAATGCCACAGCTATTAGTGAAACAACTGCAATAACTACACCCTAGACACAGAGTTGTAAAATCCTGAAGATATCATTTTATACTTTTTTAAATACAGTTTATTTTATATGAGAACTAGTGTTTCTGAAGGCATAATCTTCAGTCTAAATACGGACATTAAAATTTAAGATACTGTGGAGTTGTCAGTGAATATCACCAAAAAAATAATAAAAGCCTTTTTTGAGTATGTAGGCTTATAATACAGCTAGCTTTAAGTTCAAATATTTTATTTAATTCCATTCAAGAAATCGGTGGATTAGACTTCTTACCAGAAATGAAAATACATAATTGTAATTCTTAATCCCAACAAATAACAACAAAATACTTTAATAAAATTTCAACTGCCTTCTACTTTTCCTCACAGAAAAATGGGGATAATTTCATCTTCCATCATCTGTTGACAAAGTAGTAATCTAGTTTAGGCTAGTTATCTAGGTTTTTTCTCTAAACGACTGACAAATTTCTGCATTAGAAGACCATGAATCATCCATAATATTTTAGACAGCTATTTAAGGATGGAATACCTGCACATCAATGATACTGCATATCAAACTGCCTTTGTTCATTGGTTAAAAAAAGAACGAAAGAAGTATTTGACTTATTTATAGAGCAAACATAATTTCTGGAAATCTAAAACTAAGGTAAATTAACTTCAATTTTTTTTGTTAAATTTCTTTATGAAAATTATAATAATTTTTAAGAAAGAATTAATTAAAACCTATGTTTCTTTTCTCTAACAGTATTGTTCTTTTCCTTAAATATCAGTAGATTTTTATTAGACCTAAGGCCTTGGCAGCATTTCTTGACTGACTAGACATCCTCACACCAATCCTGGAATAAAAAGTTATTTCACCATTTTCTGATAAAGAAAATACAAAGTATAACTTTTATAAAGCAATAAATATCCTTTAATACCTTTGTTGTTATCCATTCCTCCAACAGCATAAAGTGTCCCAACTGTAGACTTTCTAGGCTTAGTTCTTGGACTTTGCATGAGAGTTCTTCTCTCTGGTAAAAGATGATATTTCATGGCTTCCAGAATAAGCTTCTGACATTCTAGGTCATCCTTAAAAAGCACATGGTTTTCCAGGTCAGCCAATATCTGTGAATGACATGAAGGTGAATCAAAAATGCTAGAAATTCCTAGAAAAGCAATACCATGCAATGAGAGAAGATAAAATGGATGTTGTAAGTATATCACTTCATTGTAGAATACACGGTTTTGCAGGGCTGGGGTTTTTTTGCAGCAGGGGCAGAAAAGTAAATAGTTAATTGACTTTTAAAAGACTTTAAGATCACTGTTTCACCAGCCCTTAAGACTACAATCTTACTAATCACTTACTGAAGGCATTGAAGACAACTAACTGCTCTCTTGTAGGCTGACTTATTTTTAATGGTTTCCAAAGTAACACTGAAAGGACCCAGAAAGCATCTCTTTGCAGGAATATTCTCTATTTCTAAAACCAAACCAAAACAACCCCCCCAACAACAAAACAAAACATCAACAACAACCCAATGAAAGAACTTGCTTGTGCAAGTTTTGAATCTGTTGTTTTGCCGTATTATTAGCAAAATAAAGGACTAATAATGCAGATAATGTAACTTTTTACAATTGGCTTAAAAATGTAATCAATAGTTACAAAAACAAATGCTCAGTGCATACAGCTGAAAGACTACTACATTACATTTCCAAAGAAGAAGGTTGCAAGTTGTAAATGTTAAGTGTTGGATTCATCTGCCTGTATGTACAAATCTACCAGCTTTTGAGATGTAATAAATCACCCAAAAATTTTCAAGATCCCACTGAACTAAGCAACCTGGGCTAACCTCACAGCTGACCTATCTTTGAGCAGGAGGTTGGACTACAGACCTCCTGAGGTCTACGGTTACCTGAATGATTCTATGATCTCACTGTCAGGCCAGAAGAGCACAGTCCTTATGAAGATTTTGGGCCATATCTGCCAGACCCATGGAAATATCTCAGATACACTAGGGCATTCAAATTCAGTCAAACTCTCAATATTTATATTTAGGCAGTTGAGTATTACATCTACATGCTGATCCCTACATTCCGCTGATCATCATATTAGAGCAGGTTTTAACTGCATGTGACAGTATATCTGTACAGTGTAGTAAATTTTTAGATCTCATAGAACATCTGACTGGGAGACCAAATAATTTTCAGAGAAGCAGCTGAAGGCCAGGAAGCAGGATAATTTAGTTCCAGAAGTCTGACGATGTATCTCCACCCAGACACATATATGCAAACATACGCAAACTGTATTGCAGTTGCCTAAAAACAGGAAGCTAGACTGTTTGTAAGAACTCTCAGCTATTTCATCTGGATTTCAATGGCTGCTGAAGAATGTATGAATGTCCTTTGTCAATCTGTCAGCCTTTTGCAGATTTTTTCTGTGACATCTAAGCATTAATAGGTTGCACATGTAGACAGTTGTGTCCTGCTTCTGACTTTAAGTGTCTATAATGAGATGAGTCTATTCAGGTTAAAAGAAAGGCAATGCAGGCTACAGTACCTCAACTGGTGATCCAGAACTCTTTTTCATGGCTGACGACCTAACAGACAATAGATATTCTTAAATTGCTTAATAGATATGCTTAAATAAATATGTTAAAAGAAGTGAATAGAGAGGCTCATCTAGCCTAGATAAAAGATGTCTCCAACTGTGGCCATATGTCAATGTCTAGGGAGCAAACCATAAAATTATTTTCAAATATATAGTAATATTCACCCAATGTCTGACTTTCAGATCAGGCACATTCTGAGGTGGATGTCTTTTCCATGCAATTTGTAATTCTCAGGGACCTTATCTTCCATTAAGTAGTTCAATCTTCCTTTTAACTAATGTAAATTTGTTGCATCCACAATGTACCCAGCCTATTACTAACTGTATATGTTTACCTCCCTCCTTTTGTTTCAAACCTGGCTCTGGTTGCTTTGTTTGCTTTCACTTGATTTGTTTCATACACTTCTTTCTTTCAGTACCCCCTAATTCTTCTGTTGAAAGAGAAAGTGAATTACTGATGCACCAAGTTTCTTAGAACATTCTAGACTTCTGTTGTATTTTCTTTAAGTCAAGTATTTTCTAGACCGAGAAGCCTCAGCTTTCTCAATCACTACTTAGATGAAAGAAGATTTATATCTTTTATCACCTTTGTTGACTTTTTCTGAACCTTTCAGTTTTGTTGGATTCTTTTTGTGAAGGGATCAGAACTGCACACATTATTAACTATGAACTTTAGTGGTGGCAAAATGATGTGCTCTGTTTTGTTATCTTTTTCTTTTCTAACAGTTTGCAACTTTTGATTTTGAATTTTTGACCACTGCAGATCTACTGACTACCAAGTCAGAAGATGACTTTTCCAGAAATTCCTATTTTAGAGACCCAAAATTTTACTCCTGAATGAAAGTGGTCAACCCAGAACCCATGGTTTTAAATTTGAACTTAATGTTTGGCTTTTTTTTTCTCGTTTGTTTTATTTTTTTTCAATTATTGTTTGTTTTCCAGGTAGATTATATTAAATGTATCTACATTAAAATTGTAAAAATGCAAAAGTTATTAGGAATTCTGAAGGGTTTAAATTCTAGGGATTTAAATTCTACTCACATCTTGAGTTTTTGTAGGTCTTGGGGAAGTCAGTGAAATTTCTTGTATCTGAAAGTTTGATTCTATTATTAAATTGCAGAACTAACTCTCATCTAAGTTGATGAGAACATGTATTGCAGTGGGAGACTGGGTAGTTCATTCTTTTATGTTCTAATACAAATTCCACAAGTTGTAGCTGAAGATATTAAAGGATTTTTTAAAAATGTTTTCCATTTAATTAAAGCTGGCTGTCCAAATTACCAAGACTATGAAGTGTCCTCCACAGGTTACTCATGAGTGAGAAAACTTGTGGATGGTTTGAGTCACACCAATGTTCAATGACGTTCCAGGCAAAAAATTCATGAAATACACTTGACATTATTAAAGCCTTAGCATCTAGTTAGCAAGATTTGTAGTTTTAAGCTATCTATTGTGTATTGAAAACCTCTGGCACATTTCAGATGACAGTATGCATCATGTTTCATTCTGCCCAACTTCCCGAATATCTGGTACCACAAAATATCCACATACCATATAATAAAAGAGAAAAAAAGTTGGGGTATAAAAAAAGATGGGAGAGGAAAAGAGAAAGTAGAAGACAGTGTGAAAAGGTACAAAGAGAAAAGAGACCTCACCACAAAGTAATTGAATTAGTTTTAGGGAGGAGGAATAAGACTAAAAGTGTGATAATTTAGCATAGCAATAGACAAAGCCCCTTGGTTCATACAAAACAGTAGAATTTACATTAGGAAGCATTTATTTACACCTAGAGAGTTGGTGCATGCCCCAGGCATGCCAGTGCTTAAGAGTTATTTGAACAATGACTTTAATAACTTGCTTTAACTTTTGGTCAGCCCTGAAATGGTCAGTCAGTTGGACTAGAGGATATTTGTAGGTCACTTCCAGCTGAAATATTCTATTCTATTCTGTTCTATTCTACTCTCTCGCAGAGGGCACAGGTAATACAAAGGAAACCATGGGTTTGCAAACCATTAGTTTGCACAAGGACTGCATAAATATTAAACTTAAATCTTTTCACTGGAGTAATCCTAATATTCATGTTTTGTCCTTAGATATGAAAGTAAATGCTCCAACGAATATATGCTGTCTCACAAATGTATAATTAAGAAGGTTAAACCAAACAAATTTTTTTTTTGGTCACTAAACCTATGGACTAAACACAATGGTTTAGATACAAGATACAAGAATGTTAAAAGAATGAAAATATGAAAACAAAAGACAGTTATGTTCTCTGGTAATAATATTTTCAGAAAACATCACTGAATGTGGTCCAGGTTAACAGCTTTATTTAAATGTTTTCAAATAGATTATGCACCAACTACAAATGATCCCATGATCATGAAAGTAAAAATAAATGTAAGAAAGAAAAAGACAGATGAGATACAAAGGCATTGAAAATATAAATATATTTTGAGGAATTCAAATATCTTTCAGGATCTCTGAATAAATTGCTGTCAAAGTACCAAGCCTGGATTAATGTATCAATAAATGAAGGCATGAGGCTGAAGTTTTTTCTCCCAATCAATAATGAATGGCTCATATGCTTTCTTTCATTTAGGTAGATTAGATTTTTGAAAACTGTCATATCAACTTTCTATGTCTGGTGAATCAAGCACTTTTCTCATCTTACATGGAAAATGAGATATATATAAATCCCTCCACATATTTGTTCTCCAAAACTGTATTTGCTATTATTTTCTCATAACACAACAGTATCTATCATATTAATTTTTATAAATGTGCATGACTACTGTATTAAGAAACTAAAAAAAATGTTTGAAATAGCACTGACTGGAAAAACAAGAAAAATATTGAGATTGGCTAATATGAATTCAGTCTCAGAGAAATGTTACAGAAAAGATGTGAAATTTGATCTGCTGCTTCTTTAAATTTGTCACAACTTCCATTCCGGCTTCTTCCTAGCATATATGTATCTTTTAAACTAATTTGTTTCTACTGATCTATATACTCCAAGGCCATATTCCTTTGACCACAGAAATTCACTAAGAGGGAGTCAATATCATATACAAAATTATCATATGTTGTAGTCTTACTCCTTAGAAACACACCTGCCTGCATCTAGATTTCAGATCATTTTAACAAGAAAAAGCCGCTTTTGAAAAATGAAATCACTAAAGAGGCTTTAATACTGTGGTCAGATTAAAACAATATGTACTTCCATCTATAATATAAGTGCTTTGAGGCTGAAGGATTAGGGTGCTGGGTTGTCAAGAGTTTTATTAAAACAGTATGAGGCACAGACAGAACATATAAAGACACATTCAAAAAAAAAAGGGAGAGACATTTGTGTTCCTGGAAGGTAATATTTTTAAGAGGGGTCACTACACATGGTTGAGGTTAATAGCTTGATATAAATGTTTGTAAATAAACTGCACATAAAATAAATGATACTTGAAAATATTCTTAAATTTTTATATTGTCTCTTTTTTTTACAGGAAGTGGCCCAGAGTCTGCT